AAAAGAAGACATGAAAGCCAAATTGCTTCTCAAAATACTTATGATAAGAGCCAGAAGTTTTTATGTGATTTACTGTTGAGAATATATCATCCATCTTCTCCCTTCTTATGCACGGCAATGCCACTGCATTTGTCGTTCTCCACTGAAACGTATAAATGTATCGGGAGTGCGCTCAACAATGTACTAAAATTTGCGGAAGCAATAACCAAAGATATAAAACTCTTCAGGGAAGCATCCCACTTCCCCTCAGAGCTCTTTCATTGATAATTCCTCGATCTCATGACAAGGAAAGTGGATCCCATTGGTGAATGTTTCAGTGAAAGTATCAAACACATAGTTTGGATTTACAAAATAGAACTCCCTTCTATTCTAACCACAACTATGATCTAGCCTATCAATTACTTTTCGGCCACGTCCCGTGGACTTATTTTTCACACTTACTCCCTAAGTGTAAATGATTTGAAAATGACCCTTAAACTTGATTATGACCGTCCCTCATCGGTTTCCTAAGATGTTCAAATCAGAATAAACGAAAACAATACAACTGAAATGGTTTCAGTTCCTCGATGATCAAGTAATCTGAGAACTGAACTCAAAGGAAATAAAATGTAAGCAAGAAACTTGAAGCTTGAAGGTGATGAATAATAGCCCTAGCTTTAGCAGCCGCCCTTCAATCTTCAAGATCGGTTTATATATGATTTCCTAGACTCCCACGGTCCTTGGTCTCTCTTTGGCATATCCAAGAAGTCCTACCAAGTAAAGGACTCTTCTTCTCTCTCCAAATATTCACTTGCCTTACTTATCCAATCTCTTCCTTATCTTTCGTGATGTCCTACTTGCGTGAAGCTCTCTTCCCATATCAACCGATATCCTATAACATGTAAATACATAATAAGATCAAACATAATATAAACTAATTTAGGAAACAAGAACTTCCCTTATTTATGCATGCAGGAACTTCCTTTTTGAACTCATGCCAAAATATTATATCTTTCAATCTCCCCCTTTGGAATCTAGTTCGAAAATTTCCTGCAAGAGATAAACAGCAAGAACAACACAAATTCTGCAAGAGATAAATAGTTCTACTAATTAGTTCCTGCAAGCAATAAATAATGAACTGCATCCACAAACCACCTAAAACCAAAGTTCATCACAAAAGTAATAGAAGCAACAGGCAATGTAGCACATCACAAAAACAGAAGAGATAAAAAAAAAACGAGGTTCCTTAATACATAAAGACCTCACTACATCCCTCCACACACAACCTAAACAACTAGAGCAAGTAGCAGCAACAATCTTCAATCAGAGGTAGACTCTCCCCCTGAGTCAGAGGTATCCTCTTCAGCTTCAGTCTCATCTTCATCTTCATCACCCTTAGCCTTCATGGACTTCTCCCCCTTTTCGAACTACGGGATGCCGAAGGGCCTGTCCCCGAGTTCTTGCGCTGCAGCCCCTTGACAGCCTGAAGGACTTGGCGGAGATACGCCTGCTGGGTAGCAACCTTCTTGGCCACTGCATCCCACTCAGCCAGCTGCTGCACCAAGAATTCATCCCACTTGGTGGGAACCAGAGAAGGGGCAAGATCAAACTTGGCCTTGGGAGTGGCCTTCACATTCAATGTGCGGGCACTCACAACAAAGGCTTTCCCGGGGTTCTCAAGGACATCATTGAAGCGGGGATTCATAGAAAAATTATGAGCAGCAAGGAAGGACCAAATCAAACATGGAAAGGGAAGATTACGACGGGACTCAGAATTAATGATGAAAGAGTGGATAATATCAAAGGCAACCTCACCAAAATTGAACACCTGTCCATCCATGATCCAATAGATGACTTTGCTCTGAAGTTCAGTGAGCAAGTTCTTGTTGGAGGTAGGTGTCCAATTCCCAGCACCAATCTTGTGGAGAATGTTAGCGGTAAGGCACAGACAGCTCACAGGCAAATTAGAACCAGGCCAAGTATCAAGATTTTTATCAGAGAGGGTTTGGGTAACAACATCAAGATCAACTTCAGACAAGGATGGAACATCAGCAGGTAAGCCCAAATGCACATTCAAAAGTTCAGGAGAAAAATCAATAACTCTATTAGTAAGAAAGAGTTTGTGAAAACGAGGGCTACCAGGTGTAAAAATAGCAGGGGTCAAATTGGCATAAAACTCTCTCACAGCTTGACCACAAAAAGGATTAAGATTAGACACGGTTTCAGACAAGCCCACAACATCAATGAGCTTAACAATGCCCAAATCCTCATACTTCGCATCACCAAGAGGGTGTTCAGCCCAAAAGCCATAAGTAAAAAATCTTCAAAACGACCAAAAGCAGCTTGAGTATAAAACCTGTTCGAGTAAGCGTTGGACAAGTCATAGTCGTCATCTTCAGGTTCTTGTTCAACAAGAGCGGTTTCCATAGGTTCTTTACCCGCACGCCTAGTGGATCGACGAACGGACGGTCGGCGATGAGGGGTCTCTTGGTCGGAGCGAACTTCTATGGCTGTACCAGCAGTGTCGGATTTGTCACCCTCCTTGGTGGTCGACTTTGTCCCAGAGGTGGGAAGTGCCGATGACTCCCCCTGAGTTGTGCCGGCGCCGATGTCTTGATGCAACTGGGGCAAAAGAACAGGAACATTAGTAGACATCGGAGAGGGTTGAGGAGTTTTGTTCTCGGTGACCGCCTTTGCCGGAGATGGAGTCGGGGTAACAGGTGGTGTATCCTGCGGCTGAGAAAGTTCCGGAGGCGGCGACATACGCGGCGAACTCGGAGCGACTGAGTACCGACGCCGCTTAGATCCCTTGTCCTTGTGCTTCTTATGGCGTTTCTTCGACTTATCCTTGCTACCAGCCATGGATAACAAATGATGATAGAGAATTTTTGAAAAACTAGGGTTTGTGTCAAATTAGAGAGAAGAGAAGAGAAAGCAAAAGCGAGTGGAGGAAGTGAATGAGAGAGAGAAGTTGCGTGTAGATCTAGAAAGAACTGACATAGATAACTACAAAAGGGAGTTCCCACATTTCAAGGTAATTGGAGTAGATTGGGCGGTTTAGGTATCTAAATCCCTTCCAAAACCAAATTCAAACACCTCATAACTTCCCACAAAAATAACTTCCCAAATTATTTCGAAAATTAAGTAGGGAAAATCCGATTTAATACCATCATATGTACCACACAAAATATATGAGACCCAAATAATTCAAATTCTCGAAGGAAATCATATGATTTATGCCTAAGGATGAAAAAGAATAAACAAAAGCATGCAAGACACCAAGATCAACAAAATTCATTCCTAGTCACCTATAATGAGATTCATGCTTAATTAATCCAAAACGATATTGCGTCACAAACACACCAAGGAACAAAACAGAGGCGGATTATATATGTATATGTAGTGCAAATCATATTTCTCCAAAATTCTAGCACCGAAAGAACATGAGCTTTATTATTCACTAGGTGTTTCACTTAGTAACAATCACTGCAATAGTGAAAGTCAACCCCACTACTTTACCCAATGATTTTAAGCAGCACATTCACATCAAGGTGTTTCACTTAGTAACAATCGCAGCAATAGCGAAAGTCAACCCCACTACTTTGCCTCAATGCTCGATGAAGAACCCCTTTTTTTTTCTTTTTTTTCTTTTTTTTTTAAAAAAAAACATTATGCACTACGTTTTTTTATGATAATGACCACCTTATAACTCCAAGTAAAAACACCACACAATCAAGTGTAGTGGTTATCAATAGCTACCACCCTTCACACGTTTTCTGTCCATGACGCTCTTTTCACAGTCGATCCAAAAGGAAACGAACCATGTGCTAGCTATCGCTCTAGATCATTGTGTGAAGGCAGCTCTTGTTGACAGAAATAAATGTGTTCCAAGGCATGAAATAACACGCAATCAATCAAGGACAATCAACACTTCACCCACTTACAGGAGAATCGGAACTTCATTTATGACTTGGTGGTGGGAGACAATGCAACAATGTAAAGAATGTCTAATGCAAATTAAACCTATGTGCTTACAGGCAATGCAATATATAATAATATATGTAGTATACAGTAAGTTCATGCAAGCATTCAAGGAGTGAACATCCCTAAGGATTTCCTTAGAAAAATGAACCGCTGGGAATCCAGAGCTTTGGTGAATATATCAGCCAACTGGTTTTGTGTTGGCACATAATCAAGAATAATCACTTCATTTTCTACCAAATTTCTAATAAAATGGTACCGTATATCTATGTGTTTGGTTCTGGAATGCTGAACACGATTCTTAGAGATATTGATAGCACTGGTATTATCACAAAAAAGGTTTATGGTTTTTACCTGAAGGCCAAACTCCACCATCATTTGTTTCATCCACACAAGCTGGGAGCAGCAACTTCCAGCCGAGATGTATTCGGCCTCCGCGGTAGACAATGCAACACAATTCTGCTTTTTGCTTATCCATGAAATTAAGTTGTTCCCAATGTAGAAACAACCACCAGAAGTGCTTCGCCGATCATCAATGTTCCCAGCCCAGTCGGCATCACAGTACCCTGCAAGACTAGCTGTAGTATCGTGAGCATACATAATTCCTAAATCTGAAGTACCATGAACATACTTAATTATATGTTTCACGGCTTTCAAATGTGATTCCTTAGGATTAGACTGATAACGAGCACACATACCAACACTGAAACATAGATCTGGTCTACTAGCGGTCAAGTACAACAAGCTACCAATCATACTCCTATAGAGCGTGGAATCAACTGGTGTTCCAGCCTCATCTTTAGAAAGCTTTTGATGACTTCCCATAGGTGTTGCTGGACACTTAGAATTTTCCAAGCCAAATTTATTCACCAGATTTTTAGCATACTTAGATTGATGGAGAAAAATCCCATCCTTAGATTGCCTCACTTGCAACCCCAAGAAATAAGACATTTCACCAACCATGCTCATTTCAAACTCGCTAGACATATTATTC